CCCAAATACAGTTTCAAAGCAAATTAATTCAAATTCTAAACTTTAAATTCAGTTTCAATTTAGTAAAATTCATTTTCAAACCAATGCATTCAATTTCAAATTATGAACATTCAGCTTCAATCTGAATAATTCAAATTCAATTCCTGCTGGCACAAGATTTATCCCATACCTTTCAATAAAGTGTAGCAACAGATAAGAATATGTACTGATTTGCATCGTATCCCAGGGCCAGTCTAAATTTATTTATTTGTTTGTTTGTAGAGTGTAATTTTTATTGTTACGACCCCACTGGTGTTTGAGTAATAAACTGTTAAGTTCTTAGGCCAAAAACAAACCAAACTGCCCTCATAAACTGTCCATTGGTTGACCTGATTTGTAAAGAAATGCATAAGCCTTTAAGTGTAGTCGATCACTATAATTAATGKTAGATTGTGTCCTATTATATTCTTCTTTCTAGATTTGCCTGTGTATTCACTTTTACTCAAAATATTTTAATTATTGTGAAGGTTGTTGTGCATTGAGTGTTAGGTTTGTATGTATTTTCAGGAGCTTCAATGATTAAGGCATTGTTGACTGACATAAAAATGTTATGTTACAGCATTGTTTCTGTTTTAGTATTTAGGTCTTTTTTTACTGAATGACTTGTCAAAATTAGGCTTTAAACCACTTTAATGGTTTAAGATTAATGGTGGAGTTAAGACCTCCACATACTCCATCCGAAGCCAAACAGTTGTTGCATGGTCACATGGTTGTCTGGCATTTGTTTTCGCACACGCCTTTCAGAGCTCCTGAGACACACCAAGCCAAASTCCTGAGAAACCCTTCCCGCTCAACGGAACAGGGTTTCTTTCCACTGGAGTTTACACTCTGGCAAAAAAAAAAMAAMMAAAAAAAATACAGATCTGCCATTATTTGGCCACAAAATCCAGGGTGTAGAAAAAATGTAAAAGTAGTGACTGTGCAGCACTTTTACACAGCACTGAATATTGTATTTATCTGCTTGAATGTTGGAGACTGTCCTGTTTGTGCTGCAGTCCACAGAGCCAAGAGTCAATTGTCTCATCATTATTTATTAATGCTGTGAGATTGTGGAGTTRTGTGTACCTGTGTGCATGTATTCATATTGAAGGAAGCTTATTAAGGCTTCATAAGCTGAGATGTTTGGATAAAATAACAGTTTGGTAGTCGTGTTGTATAATTTGTTTTTGTTTTTTTTTTCTTCCTCACAGGCAACCTGACAAATTGGTGGTGGTTTGGACAAGAAGAAGTCGGCGGAAATCTTCTAAAGTAGGTGTCATTTAGTAATCAGGGATATAAAGATAAAAAACTTCTGATTTCCAAATGTAATTATTTTTGTTCTTCATCCTCCTGTCCTGCAGTCCCATAGCTGGCAGCCTGGCATCAAAAACCCATACAGAGGAGTCGTAGTGTGGCCTGTACCAGAGAACATCGAGATCACTGTCACTCTTTTTAAGGTAGTTGTTAAAGCTAAAATTACTACATTTGGCACATTTAAAATAGTTTTCCAGGTTTTTAATGTGCATTATTAATGACCTGGGTGTCTGAATACATGTAGTCGTGACATTGTCAGTAAACTGCCTGTCTTACTYAAACATGCTTCAGCCTCTGCGCTGTCAGCGTAGATCAATGCACAGTGTCCGGTTACCTCTCTTTGTCTTAACCAGGCTTTCCTCCACAAGCACTTGAAAACCTGTTTCTTTTTGATGGAAGTGCTTCTAGCTGTTTTTGTTAAAGTTTTCGGTCACAGATATAAAAATCATTATCAACAAATTTGCGATTTCTGAGAAAACTGATACACAAGGTGCTTATGCAGGTTTATGAGTCATAACCAAGAGTTGTAGACAAATCCTGTCAGGGTGTCTCCAGAAATCTTGCTGACATCTCTGCTTTCATGAGGATCTGCTCAGCTTTCCAGGCCTTACATGCTGATGTCTCCCCCCTCTCACTTCCTTTCCAACAATAAACAGCCAGATGTTGATGTGCTTTGTAATGAGGCACAAATTAAAACCACTAAAYGAAAACATGGAACCCCTACATTTGGATAATGTTCACATTAGTTTTCATTGACTTTGTAAATTCTTAGCTTACTATCTTTTATAGAGCAGTTTTGTTGCTTGTTATAAATAAAATGGATGTTGTACAAACACTAAGGAAAGGCTTTGACAACCCATCAACAGATTAAAGTTATGATAAAATTCAGTTTGATGGTAAAATGATTTTATTTATGGTGTTTCATGGGAAATGTGAATTAGTAAAGCTTTGCTTGGCAGCTTCACTTAACTTGTTTGCTTATTGCTTCCTATAGTTTTATAGAGTAGGAAGCAAAGGCCTAATTATGCAGTCTGAGCACAGGGTTGAAACATGAACAAAAAAACACAAATTCTAGGCTGAGGTGACTGCAATTACCTGCAGTTGATTTGTTTTAAAGGTAGATGTAGGTGCAAAAACATATTTTCTATGTTTAAAATAAGGAGTGCAGTAAATTAAATTTAGCTGCTGCTTCAGTGTGTTTATTAAAGGTGAAAGCAACCTCTCAGATATTTTCCTGTCTGGCCTGAAGCTCTGCAGCGAGAACAGCTGAGCTCAGCAGTGTTGGATCATGTTTTACCACAAGATGCGAACCAGGCAGCCAACTTTTAAAAATGCAAATGAAAGTAAACAAACGCTAGTTAATATTACAGCTGCTTTGCCTCAGCTTGATTATAAAGTTTGAGCAATCCAAATACCATCTTCTTAATTTCAAAACTTGTTCATGAAGACAGACAGAAAGAAAAGATAATATTTTTGATTTCCTGCAGTGATGTAAAATGACTGCAGGCAACAGAGATTGCAGCTAAAACCATGCTCGGCTGGTATTTGAAGTTGGTATAAACTGCTGGAGTTTATTGGGACATTAAAAGCAGAGGAATCACCTGCTGTTTGATTATTCTGTCAGTATTGATTTCCCTGGATGTGTTCCGAGAACACTCATAAAATTCATCATTGCTTTGTGCATTGGGTCTGTCTCTTCRCTTCACTCATCAATTATTTTGTATTTAAATGCAAAAACACTTTTTGTGCAAACTGAAAAAAATGGCATATTCCTATTAAATAATGCTTGCTGGGAGCTTGAACACTTACCACCTACATAAAATTTCTGCAGCACAATCAGACTCTGCACCTCAACCCATGTCCTATTAAATGGTCCATTATTTTTATGCGCAGCAGTGATTTATAACTGTGCAGTCAGCTGCTAAAGGTCACAGTAGTGTAAGATATGGCTGCTTGCTGTTCTTTGCTTTCTTTGTGTTGAAGTTTGTTCTTTTCAGTTAGTTCTAGGAGGGAAAGAAAAGACATTAGATGGCATTGAGATGTTGAGCATCCACACAATGCGACCATCGGTTCACCAGAGAATAGAAAGATGTACAGTAATATTTTCRTGATCTCTTGTCACTCATTAACGTTTATTTTTAATGAGGATCTACACAGTTAACATTGTTACACCACAAACTTTATAATCATACTTTGTAAAGTTTGTATTTGGGTCTTCTAGCCAGCAACAAATTTTCAGTGTACTCCCTGGTTAGAATTTTTAAGAAACTCAATTTCTAAAAGTTGCAAAGTACCAAGAACTACAAAAAATACACCCATACAAGAGAAAAGAAAACAAATTAGAACAGGAGATGAGCAGAAGTAGTTTGTATTCATAATGTTTATTGGTACTTGGCTAAATTTTCAAAAAGAGCTCATGAATCTTTTCTTTCTGTCCTCTCAGGATCCCCATGCAGAGGAGTTTGAGGACAAAGAATGGACGTTTGTCATTGAAAATGTAAGTGGTTTTGAACCTAGGGGTCTAAGGCAATGGTTGAATAACATGACTTGTGTATAACATTTTGTAAGTTTGTGAGCATTGTTTTAGTGGGCAGATTCTGCCACCATGTGGTTGATGTTTGTTATTACAATTTACATGCTGTTTAAAGTMGAGGGAGGCTTTCAGTTTAAACCACACAGGCATTTAAAATATGTATATGTTCTGGTTTTCTTGAGCAGCCCACATGCTTTAAAAAACTACTTCTAACTTGACTGCCACCAAGGCATCTTAGTGTTTGTGTCAATTTTCAGATGATTATAAGAAAAAAACAATGATTTTCCATCTTTCTTGCTGTGAAGTAACATCACCTATTAGGGCTCAAGTCTAAATCTAAAATTGGCTCAGAGTTTGTGTCTCACGTCTCAATAAAAACACGTTTCTTACAAGGGTGTTACATTTTGGCTATCCAGGATCATCAAAAAGTGTGAGGGGTGTGGATTGATCCTAGTCAGATCTTAAGTACTGAACTGAGTTTCTAATGAAGGCATATTTGATTAATGGAAGCTATCAAGTGCTGCAACGCTTAATCTCTGTTTTACGTTAGCTAACTAAAAACCACGAATATTGCTGAATCAATAATAGACGGTTCCAAAAGTAACATTAAATTTTTAATATGTAGTATGTGCTGCTGAAAAAAGGCAGCATAGAGCATAAGTATGAAACAATTATCAGCAAACAAATTATGCTAATTATTATACAAACTTTAAAAAATCCATTTAGATATTTATCTAAATTTATTACTTTTTTGTAAGTACATTTATACCTTTTTTTAAGTGTGGCTTTCAACAAAATCAGTGTAGCCATAACACAAAACAATATTAAATAGTTTTCCTAAATCATTGCAGACTTGCTGAATAGCTGGGTTTCAATCATGGTTTCAAGTGGAGGTCAGGAAGTAAAATCTCTATGGACAAAACTGTTGTTAGTCCATATTGTTCAGATTTAGATCCAGTTTTAAGACAAACATTCCAGCAGTTAGTTCACAAACATGTCAGATGTGAGCCGTATCTGATGAAGATGCATGCGTTTTCGACAGAACCTAAAGATTTGCTGACAATCGAGGCTGTTGATAGTACAAACTATCTTGTCCTTCAAACTTCTTACTACTAATCACCAATTACCAAATAATAACCAGCGAAAAATATTTTCTGACYAATAATTCCACACCATTTTGCCCAACCCTATTACGGAGCACAGAAGATTGTTGTACACAAAGACGAGAATGCTCACAGAACAACAGACGCTGCCCTAGTGTTGTTGTTAGGYCTTTCATGTTTGTTGATGTTAGCCGCTACTGCTAGCATCTTAACATAAAACAATACAAGAACAAACACTCACCCTGGCATATGTTAAATGTTAGTTCAGCGGGGTGGGGGTGAGACCAGAGGGTGAATTGAGGTGTTTTTTTTTTGGCCTGAATCTGCCCGTCTTACTGCAACATGCTTCAAATATGACATTTTTAAAAAAGTGCAGTAAATTTTTCATTTATTATATTATTTAATTTATTTATAATTATTATTAATTTGGCCAGAATGATCGGAGCAGCCATAAACTACACAACACATGGACGTTTTTTATTCAGACTGCAAATCCTCTGATACTTCACTTCCTGCCCTCCRTTTGCATTTCACATTCTCGTGGYACTGCATTGTGATGTGAAACCAACTTATTAAGTATAGGCATTGTATCCTGATAACCTTGTTGCATCTTTGTTGTGGAAAATATTTGAGACTTAGTATTGGCAGATTTTTAGTTTTTAACTGACCTGTTTTCAACTGACCCAACCAGTGATTAGGCTTTTCAAAGGGACAAAGTTCAAAGGGAGTAAAAAGAGCTGATGTTGCCTGATGTGACTTTAGAAAGAGGGTTCATCACTAAAGATTAACAAATGACCTTTGAAACGCCTCAGCCCTCTTTTTTTTACTCTTAAAGAATGCTTGTGATGGGGGGCGGAGGGGGTTAAATTAGACAAGCTTGCTGAGTGCCCTGATGCTGTCACTTTGTGTCCATGTCAACGTTAAAGGAATGACAGCACATAGAGAGCTCCACCTTTTCTGTTTTGATGGATAGTTGAGAAGACAAGCTGGTCAGCCGGTGTTTTCTGACCAGAGCGTGGGAGAGAACAAAAAGAGAACAGAAAAAGACAAGCTTTTGGGTTTGCCTGTGTCTCTGCATACCTAACTAATAACAAGAAGATCAAAGCCATAGCAGTCTCCTGACAGCAGGAATGAAGAGCACAGAGAGGGAGGAACAATGGCAGGGAGAAAGTAAACTTACACCTTCACACACAGGATGTTTGATTAATAATTGCAAACAACAAAACATGACAAATCATTATTAACTTTCATGTAGAAGCCACAGAACTTCTTAGACAATTGTCTTTGTTAAGTTGGTGCAACTTCAATGAAATCCTTCGGAATATTTATACCCGACACAAGAGGGAAGATTATGCAAATTAAAGCGGGTTACCAACTGTACTTTTCAGGACTAATAATATTTAAAACACTATGACTTGTGTAATTTAGAKCCTGAATAAGGTTTTACAGATAATCTATCTAATATGTCAAATTTACACAAAAAATATGATTTAAAACGTAAATCTATCATCAGTGCTGTTGGTGTGTGATTTGCAGAAATTAGAAACTGTGTGAATTGACCAAAAGAGGGCAGTCCAAGTCAACAACAGTGAAAACCTGGGTTTTTTTCAGCAACAATAATTAAATCTGTTTATTATCTCAATGTCAGCTGTATATGTGTGTCAGTGGGTAGCCTCGTGTGCCTGCATGATCTATTTTTATTTATGTTCAGACTGCATCCAGACTCATTAAGTCTTAATATATGATCCTATTTTAATCTGACCGTGCTTGTGTGCTCATAAATGTATAGAAGGCTCAGGCCGTCTGTGCTGCTCCCAACTGTCAGGTATCTTAAAGTCAGAAYGCGTGAGTGAAAGCAGCAGTGAGTGCTGCTCTTAGGTGGAGGAACAGAAGAAGAGAAGAGGTGAGTTCTCCTGACCCCTCATCAGACGGCCGAGGAGAAAAGGGGAAGAATACGCCATTGTGCCTGTGCTCGGGAGATGATGAAATTCAAGATCCCCGCGCTCTGCCTTCGTCTTAATCTTGGGGCCCAACCTTGCGTTAGGCTAATCCCTCTCCGTCGAATTACTGGCCCTGTCTAGATTGTATTTTGTCATTGAAAATGGTGGTGTCAAACGCTACCTTTTTCCCTCCTCTATTTGTTCGTCTGCCAGGGCGAATCGCATAATCAAAAGATGGGGAGAGAAAGAGCAAAGAAGAGCATTGGAGAGAGGTGGAAGGCTGCAAACGGCTACACAGTAGTATCTCTAAATTGCATGCTACCCTTGCCTTTCACCCTTTTTCAAACAGGCACATATTATCAAAAAGGTGGGCAAATTGAGAGTCAAAAGATTGGACAGCTATATTTGAAGTCATTGTGCTGACAGGCTCTTTTGTGTGTGTATGGGAGGTGGGGGGGGGGTGTTAATGTGTGTATGTATGTCTGTGTGTATTCTTTCAGCGTTTGCATATCAGCCAAAGCTGGAGATTGGACACCAACTTCCCTCATCTTCAAAGCTTTGTGAAAGGATTTAAATAACACACACACATGCATGCAGTGGACGGTTGTATATAAAGAGAGAAGCTATCATGTCTGAATACATTGAATATACAGAGATACAGACTCCAAAGCCCACTCTTCTCAGTCCTCCCCCATTTTTCACCCTTTAAGTCCTACTTCAACATATTTTGCTCACATTACATCAATGTCAGGAAGGACAGAGCATTTCTAAATGTGTAGGCCTATGCTGCCATTTGACAGCACTGTCTGACGCATGGTATTGACATTAGAAATKATGATTTTTTTAAGTATAGATGACTTTTTAAGTCAGTTTGTAGCRTTGAAGATTGGAATTTTTTTTGTAGAATTACAGTGTAGCAGGACTATTCAACTAAATAGCTCCAGGGCCACAGATACTGCTGATCAACAGCTCAGGAGCCAAACATCCAGCAATTAAAGTTATGTAAATTAACAAAGTATTATGAAGATCTGTTACCTTTGAAATAGTTTATTTTGCTGTATTTAATCATGAATACAACATACAGAACCCTATAAAAGTAGTGATAATTAAACAATATCAAAAACAAAAAACACAAATATTATTTAGACATCTCTGACTTGACAAAAATTTAAACCAATTTTATTTTCACTTTCATAGTTTTATCTTCATCTGCTTGTAGTTTTAACTGTCTTGAGTGTGCATTGAAATGGTTTTACCAGTTTGTAGCCAAAATTCTGTTGTTTCTGTAGATATCACACATGTCTATGTTTAACTAATAGAACTTACAGTAATTAAAGTAGAAAACAGGGGGTTTGTGTTTAAGAGATGAATGAACTAATTGGCGGGCCGAACTTTGGCCACTCGCAGGCCGGATGTGGCCCACGGGCTGCCAGTTGAGAGTATAGTATTTAGACAATAAAATCAAATATAATTTAAACAACTTAAGAATACAATTCTTATGTTATATCTTCTAATCATATGGTATACTTTTTTTTATCGTAACATCATAGTGTATGACAAAAAAGTTTTGATTGTTGTAGAATGACTTAAACAAACCAATTAGAGTTTTTGATATCCAGAGAAAGCAGGAAATCCATTTTGCTGAGGATCATGTTCTATCATGTCTTCCAGAACAATATACCTGAACATTCTTGTGTTTTTATGGATTCCTGTAGAATGGAAGAAATGTTCTTTAAGGGTGAAATTGGTTTTCAATCTGTTGCAGTCTGCAACTTCACAGCTAAATGTCACTAAATACTTTTTCTTTCATTACCTTTTTTAATGTCTTGAACCTCTCAAATCATCACTGCACACCATAAATGTCTTCAAAAGGAGATTGGAAAATACATTTCTTTTCATTAAACATGTAAATTTAGAGGAT